AGGTACCTTCTTAGAAACATTGAATAGAAATTTAATCATTTGCTTTATTAGCCAATTTGGATAGAAATATAATGAATTCAGAGTAACTGTAAACAATTTTAATATGCTAATTGAAATAACTGATTGAGATCACAGGATTTGAAACATTTGAACACTTCGAGGCTCTATTGATGTTTTCCCCCCCAAATACTTGCAATGCATTATTCAGGTTTTTTTTTTTTTTTGATCTAAGCATTTATTCAGGTTTAATTCTCGTGGAAAGTATTTTTATAATAAATGAATTGTTTCAGAACAAATTCCCAATATGATAATATGTTGATTCATTTTATGCTAGCGTCAATATGAAGTTTTGTTCTAGTGTCACCTGTATTCATAAAGCTATCTTTAACGGAAGGCTTTATATGGGGTAAGGAATTCAATAATGCTATAGGATCAATATTTTAGTTTTTTTTTTTTTTGGTTTTGGTTTTGGCTTTTGTTTTTTTTTTGTTTTGGTTTTGTTTTTAATTCGCGGAGTACTTACACTACTTTTGTACCATGTTATATAACTGTCTATTGAGAGTTAATAAAAAGGAAAGGGAGGAAAACAAAAGAAAAACTATCCATTGAGGAAGTCATTTACAAAGATTTTAGTCTTGAAAATGTATGGCATACAAGTTATGCATCCCGCTCGTGTCACATATAATAATCAATGTATAAAAAATTATAAATAGGTCAGAAATGAATTTGTACTTAAATTTAAGATCCAGAAGTATGATTCTTTTTTCCCAATGACATATTACAAAGGAGATTTTGAGCGTGAAAGAGATCTTTGTACATATTACATCATTAGTAAACATGAAAACTATATACAAATATACATCACTATTGTTAAAAAGTATAACCTGTAAGTTCCCATCACTTGCATGTTCACTAGACTACTCATAGAATGAGATATGAGATAGTAGATTATGAGCTTGAAAGAGAGTATTAGGCTTTGTCAATACCATAACATCATTATTAACCAATGAAATGAGATACTAAATCATTAAAAGCAAAATCCAAATCAGGGCACGTCATAACTGAGTAGTGTTATCATATACAAAGTGATATGCTAAACTTAATGTTACCAGATTAATTAACCTCGATTTTCAATTGCAAAGTATCATTTTCCATCACTTGTACCCTCATCTTGATTGCTTTGAGAATGTATAGAGGTAGTCAATGTTGCCTGTGTCACATCCTGAAAAATTTCACCTGGACATAAGGAGTTAAAAATTGGGATGAGGGCCAATATAGAAAGTAGACGAAGAGATAAAATAATTTTTGATGTATAACCCTGATAGGACCTGGATTGGCATTTTTGGAATTATTGGTCTAGAAAGGGCAAAACAAAAAAATTTAAAAAAAATCTAAAACATGGTAAAAATGTGAATTATAGGTTTTGAAATCTCAATGGAGACCCCAAAGGTAAAAATTATGAAAAAATAAATTATTATGAAATTTCCTGAATGTAGAGGTTTTTCGGAAAAATAGTAGAAAATAGAAAGAAAATAATTATTTTAATTAGTTAGAAGCCTCAATGATTTCAAAATAAATATGAATTAATTATTTAAATAATTCTGGGAATTTATAAAATTGGTTTTAGGTCTTAGAAGCTTAGGAATTTATTTTTGAGAATTTATTTCCCACAGTTTTACCAATAGCAAAATAAATAGTTAAAGGTGGAGAAAAATTTTAAAAATTTTCAGATCATATTCTTATATGAAAAAGGGATTTTTTATGGAGAGAAATGAATTTTTTGATGCCTAGAAAAATTATGAAATATTATTAGTGAATAATAACCAATAAAGTTTCAAAATGATTTGGGATTTTGATTTGGTTTGTGGGTTATCTTTTTGGGCCATCATAACCCATTTTTGGGCCCCACATTAAGCCCAAATAAGGTCTAATTTTGTGATAGTTTTGGACCCTACTATTTAATTAAAATAAAATCCATTTTTCATGGATAAATCTTGGAATAATCTAGTAAATGGACACTTGGATAAATCTAAATGTGTCTTGTATTGGATGGCAGCCAAGTAACCATCTTTAAGTGGCATTTGGTCATCCAAATGAGGAAAAATTGGCAGAAAATTTTGTTTGTAAATACCCCCTCACAATACCTAAAAATGATAGGAAAATTAGAAAACTTAGGGGAGGTTCTACCACTTTGAAAACCATACTTGTAGACTGAATTTTTTGAGTGATTTGGGGTAAGGAAATAGCAAGTTTTTGTCAAAGAATCATCAGGATATGTCTAAGCCTTGCTATAGCTAAGATTAAAGTTAGTTTTGGTTAGGTTTTTGCATGAATTTTTAAAGGGAACTGCTGCCCCCATTTCGATTTAAACACTTGATCATTAGGGAAGGCTAAAAACCTTAATTATGATGTGGAATAAGCTTGTTTAAGTGGTGTATGGATTGATTTTTAGAAGAAAACCAACTTAGGGTTTTGTATGATTCAATTTAGCCAAGACGGGTTCATGGTGCAGGAGATTATTTCACCTTAATTTGATGATTCTAATAGGTTTAAAATACATTTTTATGTAGGGATATTCTAAAAGGAAATATTTAAAATCATTGGAATCAAAAATAAATTTTTTGAAAATCATATACACCTATTCGGCCAAGGCTGTTTGATAAGAAGGGAGTTTGATTCTTAAAAATCTGATTAGATATTTGATGTGCATGAAAATTTGTGTAAGAATGAGCCAAGAGATTATTGATTCCAAAGGAGGAACAATTTTGTTAAAAATTAAAGAAAAAGAAGGAAATTAAGTAGGTTAAGACTAAAGTGTTGCGTTTAAGTTGTATAATTGCTAATGTGGATTGTAATTATGCTTGGATTGATAGGTTTTGTGGAAAGAAAATACGGAGAGGCTAATTAAACCAAGGAGGCCAAAACTACTTGGGCTTAGAAAGGTAGCATTGAATTATAATTTGAATGTTTTCTTTACTTGTTTAATGTGATTATGTTGTTTGCTTTAGTTGAGGAACTTGTGTTGTGATAACTGTTGATTTGATGACACTTGGTTGTACTTTGGCTAAATGCATAGAAATATGTCATGTGAAAGTGTTGATATTCCTCTCTTGTCATGATGCTAAACATGATTTTATGTGACTTGATGATGTATTGAAGTTCTAAAGCCTGTCACGTTATGTCTTACTTGATTTACATGAGAATTATAGTTCATTGCTATTAAGATTTCTATGAAATCTCATTCTCCCTTATGTCAATTTATGTCTCAAATAGGAGGTAGCTCATGTATGGACAAAGGCAAGGAATTGGTATTGGGTTGAAGGAATAATATGAATTATGTAATGTTTTCATGATGTTATGTAGTATTTTGGTAAACTATACAATGATGTTGTAATGGATTTTGGATTGTAATACCTTGTATCTATGTTTATATAATATAATGTGCTTTGATGCTGAAAAATATGGTTCATGGAATGCTCAAATGAGATGGCACATGGAAAACGGAAAAGATATTCAATGAATAATAAATTAGGGGATAAAAATGCCTTAATTAGGGGTAAACTTGTGTCACATAAAATAATAAGTAAATAGGAAAATTTGGATACAAAACTTGGTAGTTTTATAGATCTTATTTTTAGCTTTAAAACAAGTGATAAACTACTAAATTTAGAGTTTTGTGCTAAGAGATACGTCTTTTCAAAATTGGGCTAAAATACTGAAAATTCAAAAATTGACCAAATAAACAAAGCAACTTATTAAATTTTCTAGCTTTGTTTCAGATAGATATGAGGCCAACAATATTTTTTCCTTATAGAGGACATAATAAGCTTCAAATAGAAATTAGAACTACTCAGTTTCTATTTTTTTTATATTTAGTTATGAATTTTTAAAGTTAACACAAAATTCCATGAACAATGTACATAAATCCGGAAATGAAAATTTTAAAATTGAAAATTTTCCATTCTTAAGCCTTGGTAGATGACTTTAAATGATTCTAATGGATATATAATAAGGTAATAAAGGAGATGTGACATCCTGGCTAGAGGAGGATCCATCATCCACCAAAACTTCTTTATTAGGATTTAAAGAAGGTTCTAGGGGCATTTCAAGACTTTCAACATCATTTGCTTCTAGCATCTCTATTATTTTATTCATTGAAGGGCGATCTGCAGGCTTTAGTTGTATACGCCATAGTGTCATAATGAACTCTTTTTTTTTCAAATTCTTTTCTTCTTCTGCCAATCTTCCATTTCTATGTCTTTTTCTTTACTAAATTAGTCGTAAAGTCACAAGGGAAGGTAAAGTTGGCTTGAATGTTCAATATGTGGATTCAAATTCCTCCTTTGACTAGTTATTTCCATCAAAAGCATTCCAAAACTATAAACATTAGCCTTATAATGACACTCCTCCAATATTCTTATAGAATAGTTATGGAGCCATATATTTTATTGTCCCTTTTGTTGCAGTCGAAGTGACAATACTATTGTTACAAGAATATAATCTTGCTAGTCCAAAAATCGGAATCTTTAGATTGAAATTGCCATTAAGTAGAATATTGTGGGGCTCGATATCAAAATGCAATATTTAGATGTCATAGCCATGATGAAGACATGCAAGTCCATGAGCTATTTATATTTTGCAGTTCCTTCCGCACAACCCAACAAAATTTACCATTTAGCATTGTGAATCCTCCCAATAGTAGCCACTTTGCTGATAAATTCTTGGCCATTGGCTTTGGACATGCCCAACATTTTGATAGCAGCATCATATCCACTCCTTAACTTCCTCTATATACAGTGCCGAATCCTCCTTTACACCCAACTCCTTCTTAAAACCCTTTGTCACTGTCAACAAATCCTTGCAGGAGTACCTTATTGGAATGATGTTAATGAGGTCGTATGATGTCTTTGATGATAATTTCCTTCTTTTGCATATATATTCCAACAACACAATCAAGAGTGTGATGAACAAACTAAAAATCTGACTGCTATGGTTGGCAAAACAACTCTTCTTGTCACTGTTCCTAATTTTCTTGCAATCATTGTTGATTGGCTAGTATTGTAGTCACTGTGGTAATCATAAGTTATATTTGTCCAGTCCTGCAAATGTTTATTTTCACAAGGGTCATAAAATTGGCGAGTTAGAAAAATATGACTAGTTGGGGGGCAAAAAAAAAGAAAGTTTTGTGGGAAAGAAATCACCTAACATCAGATTTCTACTAAAGCACAAACAAGATCTTCCTTTATGCTTGCTCCAGTTCTTAATATAAGAGTCAATTTGACATTCAATTTAGTTCTAAATATAAGAACCTAATCTATTTTGTTTATTATTATCCATTTTTCCTAAAATAGTCTTTGTAATAATTGCAAATGTTAAAGGCTCCATTAAGTGGTAGTTTTAGTTTATATACTCCTCTGATTCTAAATATAAAACCCGTTTTGTAGTAAACACTTTACACGACAAAACGGATCTTATATTTAGGACCAGAGGGAGTACATGATTAGCAAGGGTTCTACAATAGATAATATCTATTTATTACAAATAACTAATTTAACTAATTTTGTTAATATCTCCAAATTAGTCAATTAAGTTTTGCATTAATGACCGGCTAGTATTCCTCAAGAAAAGTTTTACAAAATCAAAACAATCTCTTTCCTATAATAATTATATTTTACTCACAAATCTAATATATGTAATTTTAAAATTGGCTAGTATTGGGCTATTCTTGGGTCATGAGTGGCCCAACGACAATTTTTCAAAGGTTACACAACAGATGATACTCCCTCTGTTCTTTATTATAAAAGGCAAATAACCAAATTACGTTGATAAAAAAAACAGTTAAAATTAGTTGAGGACAATTAATATGTAAAAAGTATAATATTTTTTTCCAACAATGCCCCCATTAACAAGGAGAGAGAGTATGAGAGAGAACAATTAAATTATTAAAAGAAAGAGAAGTGGGAGGGAGAGAGAGTATGAGTTGGAGACAAAATAAATAGGGGTAAAATAGGAAATCAATACAAAAAAATAGAGACAACTTTTAAGTGTCTCTTATATATGGAAACATGCTATAAGCATCAAATATCTCTTATAATAAGAAATGGAGGGAGTAAAAACTAACGAGTTAATTGATTTTTGGTTTCTGTTTTGACCAGCAATTGGTTCTTAGTTTTGTTTCATACATTTCTATTATAATTTGAAAACAAAATATTAAACTATATTGAACCATGTGCTCATTCATTTTTTAAGTTTTTATCATAGAAAAGATAGTCATTTATGCTTCCAGATGAGTAGGCTTTTAAGTAGGCTTGCACATAGGACAGGACTGGACTGGGACAGTCTCATCCCATGTCTCGTCTCGATTAATTGATTAGGATGCACTTTGTGTTCCCCATCCTGTCCTATTCCAATTGTATCCCAGTCTCGACTGGGAGGGGGAGGGGACGGGATGTCTCACATCAAGAAGGTTGACAGATAGCTTGCAAATTTTTAGCTTTAAAATACATAATAACAACCTCCTAAAGCAAATTACATATAACTCAATCTAACTCAATTTCTCCATTATCCATGAAGGCTACAACAATCATTTAGATATAGAAGAAAAACTGTAAGTATAGAAATCCAACTCAACATGAACACAAAAATAGAAATGCAGCAACACAAATTTAAAAGCACATCAATAATCAATATTTGGTCATCCACTATTTCTTTGGCTCTTGCTCTTGATTAATCAAATTTGATGCCACTTCTTCGTCTGCAAAGAAAGAAAACAACAGGAAAAAATAATAATTTTTAGGAATCAAATAAATTTGATGTTATAAAAAAAATAATATGATCATAATTCATTTATCATGTATCACATCATTAGTGTCATTAAAGTCATCAGTGTCAAGTCCTTTTAGCTTGGATGTAGATGGAGATAGCCAATTTTGGGCACAAATAAGTGCCTCAACCATCTTAGGGGATAATGAGCTTCTGAGCTTCTAAAATTATCAATAAGACGATGTCCTGTGCTAAATGCTAATTCTGAAGACACAACGGAGATAGGCATCACCAACACATCACGAGCAATCAATGAAAGGACTCTATACTTGCTAGCATTGACTTTCCACCAACCCAAAATATCAAATGCAGGATCACGAGCTTCAATTAACTCACCTTGAAGATACTTCTCCACCTCAGCATGCTTATATATTTGAACCCCAATCTCCATTTGTGTAAGGAACCTTCCATTGCAGTGAAAGCATCATCTCCATCGATATCCAACTATTCTCATTATTCAAGTCTGTGATACTGCTGGAAGCTAGTTGTGTTTGAGTTTTAGTCTATGACATGCCAAACACACTTGAATAATCATCATACAGGTGATACAAGACATTTAAGACTTTTTTTATCATGTCTTCATGATGTGCAGGATCATAATACATATCCTCAAAAGCAAATTTTAAAATTTTCATCTTATACCTCGGGTCAAGAACTACTACTATCACTAACAAAGGATTAAAGTCGTCAAACTTCCTCTAATACTTGTCATACTTGATCTACATTTTCTTAGCCATAGAAGAGAATAAAGAATTTTGATTATTTGCCCTTCTATTCAAAATGGCAGCCACATTAACTATTTGTTGGAAGGCTACATTTGATGTCGCATAAAATGATCCTGAAAATTTCAAAGTGACATTGTAGAATACCTTCAAAAATGCAACAAACTCCTTAGCCACTTGAAAATCTGTTGTATTAGGAGGACCAACTAAGCTCTTTTCTAAAAAGATTTTTTATACTCCATATCAGTTTGCTCCATCCTATCAAACATGCTACCAAATTTAATGGTATTCTCCAACATTATATAAGTTGAATGCCACCTAGTTGAACAATCCATGCTCAAGAGACTCTTTGAATCAATTTTCATTTTTTTTCTACAAGCTCGTTGAATTTTTGATAAATTGATAGAGAAGATCTTACATATTTAATAGCATTTTGAATGGCATCAAGAGAGTAATACATGTAATTCACACCATTAGAAAAAGTCAAATTTAATATATGTGCACAACATCGCATGTGCATGAACTCTCCATCACAAACTAGACCATTCTAATATTTGAAAACGCCTTTAAAGTTGATAATGCACTATCATTTGAAGAAGCATTATCAATGGTGATAGTAAACACCTTGTCAATGCTCCATGACAATAGGCATTTCTCTATTTCTTCTGCCATTGTATCATCCTTGTGATTTTCAACCACTAAAAAATTCAAGAGTCGTTTTAGCAATTGCCAATCTTCATCAATCCAATGAGCAGTTAAGGACATATAGTTGGCATTTGGATTGGAAGTCTCTGTATTTGTAGTGAGGAAAACACGAACTTTTTCCTTTTTACAATAACTTCTCAACTTCCCGACTTCTTCAAGATACAATTTATAGCAATCTCTAGTAGCAATCATTCTAGAGGGAACTTGAAATCGAGGTTCTATGTCATTCATCATTTTAAAACCCTCACTTTACACAATCCAAAAAGGCAGTTCCTTCAATATAATAAATTTTCCAACAGCTCTTCTACATTGCTCTTTACTAAATAAATGATGTGTCAATGATTTAGAGGACCCTAGTTAAGAGGCTATAAACAATGATTGTGTCATCTTGTCAGCTTTGTTTGGATTTTTGGGATACCTCCTTGCATGTTTTCATAATCCATTTATCCCATATCTAGTAGGGTGACAAGCAATTGTAGATGTGTAATACTTGCAGTCGGTTCAGTGTTCTCTCTTAGTTTGATCCAAAGGAAGCTTGTCAAAATGCAGCCATATGTTAGATGTTTTCCTTCTTTTTGTTGGTCTTTCTTCTCCCTCAATATTTGAGGCATTTAGGGCCTCTATTGCTATTGCCTCTTTATTAGACATTGATGCTAAATCATTGCTTTCAGCTTCAAAATCTCCTTTAACATTTCTAATGTTTTTTCTAGTAATGGGCGTAGTGCCAATAGTGGCCATCTTCCTAAGCAGATTAAGCAGCATTGAACAGATTAAACAGATTAAGCAGATTTAGTTTTTCATAGTGAATCCAATTTTCAATTTTTAAGTAGCAGAGTCAAAGAATGCCTATTAATAAATTTCAGAATCAAAATTTTCATGATTTTCAAGACTCCTACTGGTTTAAATGCAAAGTCAATGAACAAAGAAGCAGCACAATACAAGGGGATTGGGGATTGGAGACGGGCAGATAGTAACATGGAAACCATTAAAGCATCGGTGAACAAGAAATTTCTTTCATAGCATCTCCCTCTTACTAATATAGTAATAATGTAGTAATGGAACAATGGGAGTGGGTATTAGGTGATGAGGGGTGGGATTAGGGATGATGAACAGATGGAGAACAACTTACCTGCTGCCATAGGAAGGATAATGAATGAACAGAGAGTGACTGATGAAGCAAGCAACAGTGGGACTTGCGAGCCGCGAGCCACGAGCCTGTAATCAATCGATGGTGGCACAAAGCAAGTGATGGCAGAAGCTGCGAGCCTGCGAAGCCAAGAAGGAGTCAAAGAGAATGACTGAACCATATTTCAATTTTGGGGTGGAGAAGCTCAAATTCAAAAGCCAAGAGCGAGAGGCAAGAAGGAGATTAGGATTTAGGAGAAGATAAAGTAGGTTAAACCTCATACGAAGATAGATATACATGCTAGTTGGTAATGTCAAATACTACTTCTGGTTCTTAATATAATACTTAGTTAACTAATTTGAGGAGATTAAAAAAGTTAATTAAGTTAGTTATTTGTAATAAATAGATATTGTCTCTTCTAAAATACATTTGCTAATTATGTGTATTAGCTAGAACTATCATTTCATGAAACTTTTAACATGTGCAAACTATAAGGACTATTTTGAAAAAAATAGATAAATATGAAAGACAAAGTGGATTGTAGTTTTATATCTGTGACCAAATTAAAAGTTAAGCAAGCTCTTACATAAAGATCGGAGGTAGTATAAAATTCTATGTACAACAGTTGCAAATGAGTAAGACATAAGTATCAATTTCAATTGAAGTTTTTGAGCGATAATTATTGTTTGGTACTATATCTGGTTTTTAATATAAGAGTTAGTTTATTAATTTAAGTAAAGGGTGAAGGGGCAAATTTATCTATCATAATATCAAAAAAGAGTACCAGGCACCATAACAAAATCTTGGATACAAAAATGAATACGAACTTTTTAAAATGGGACGAAAATACCAGATCTGTTAGTGGTGCTAAACGTCCATTATTTTTTTTTTGGGGTCCCACTTTATCCAGATGTCACCCTTTCATCTTCATCCTTCCTGGGTTTCTCTCCGCAATTTGACTAGGTCTCTCCCCGACATCCATCTCTCTCCCTGAGTCTCTGTTGCTTTCCTTTCAAAGAGAAAAGAAGCACGAGAGGAGAGAGAGAAGAGGATGTTGAAGAGCTTTACGTCTTCAAATTTGCCATTGTAAGTAGAACCTAGAATTGCCGCTGCACAGATTGTGTTTTCATCCACCATCTCCATCGCTCTCGTTGGGTCCATCAATGCTTTTGAAACCTTCACTTCCTTGAGTTTCACCTTAAAATACATCGCAAATTTCTTCCAACAATGTTCTGCCACCTCTTCTTGAAGGCCAGCTCCATGCCAGCATTATCGCTTCCAACGATCCAACCTTTCCCCCCTCTCATGCCGTTACTTTCACTTCCTTCTATCAGGGCATTGAACAATCTTGCTAGCATTTTCATGCATTGATTTTCTCATAATATTCATCAAATCTCACATGGATCACACACATATAACAACATCGATATTTTTGAAGAAAAAGACCGATCGAAGACGTCCGTGAATGTCGGTGGTCATTGGGTAACTTGGGAAGAGAGTGGGTGGCAAAGGTGTGTGAAAAAAGGAGATTTCAGAAGGTGGTTTTGGGAGAGACATGGTGAAGTACATCTTGTGGCTTTTTTTGTGAGAAGAGGGAAAACACAAAGAAAACTAGGAAGAATGTGTTTTCCTGATATATGTTGGGGAGGAGGATTTGAACCAAGCAATGTTGGAGGCTATTTATATTGATTTTATATCATGGGACAACGGGCTCTATATATGGTCTATATGATGTGGTAAAACTAGAGAGAGTGAAGTACAAATTAAAGCTTTTCTTGAATACTAAGGAAGGATGAGAGTGAGAGGGTGACACAAGAATAAAGTGAGATGTAGGGGGAAAAAAATTAATGGACGTTTAGTACTATTAACAGATTTGGTATTTGTAGTATCTTAAATTTTATGAAAAAAATATTAGTAAAAAAATTCAAAAAAATAAAAATATATAAAATATAAAATAATAATATTTTATTATTATAATAAAATAATAATGTTATTATAAATGGAAAAGGAACAGGTGAAGATTAGAGATAAAAAGAGAGCAAGAGGAAAATAAAGAAAGAAAGAAGGGAGAGCAGAAAGAGTGCAAGAGGGAGTTGGAAGCAAATTAGCGATTATTGTGAGGGAGAGGACAAGCTTTAGAAATAATTTAGATACATAAAATTATTTCTTTTCATCAAAATTTCTTTATAAATATTTTTTATATATTTTAAACTTTATAATGACAGTATTACTATGGTGATTAAAGAAAATTTTGAGATTTAGGTATAGAATAATTATTGAATTTTGATAATCGATAACCACAGAAATTTAGAGGTAAATGAGTAATTAATTTTAATCAGTTTAGATTTGCCCATTTGTTGGTTTTTAGTATTTAAATTAATTTTTATTTGAAAAATCTGTTATTTATGATATATCTCATATTTTTACCGATTAAAATTAATTTAAATAATTTATTTTGGTTGTTTGACATATTATTGAGATTTTAATTGGTTAAGTTTTATTGATGGGGTGACTGGAGGTTTTAAAATAATTATTTTAGTTAAAAGAGTTTATTATTTGTGGAAACAAAATCTGATAGTCATACCATTAAAATTTGATTAGATTATTTATTTATAAATATTTTAGGTACTATTAAATTTTTGATAGTTTAATTTTAAGGTTTAAACTTTAAATAGGATTTTTAAGAATTTAAATCATAATAATTTAATATTTTGAAATTTTGAAAATTTTTTTTATTAAAGTAAATAATTCAGACGATATGAATAAATAATTTGGCTTGTTAGAAAATTATAAATTGGTTCTAAAATACTTAACTTTGGGTTATAAGAGTTGCAGAAATTTAGAATAAAAATTAAATTAAATTAAATTAAAAATTTAACTAATATATATAAGCTTAATTAATTAATTAATTAGCTTGTATTAATATGTGGTTATATTAATTGTGTAGATTAATTATTGGTTGAGTAAGAGATTGACCTTGTGGTAATCCTTTTTATTGTTTTGGTGAGAGATAACCACTTTTCACTTATTATATATGTTAATATGTTGTTTTTTAGTATTTTGATATTTTGAAATAATGATGTGCTATTTGAAACTAAAAGAGATATGTTATACTTTGGGCTATGAAAATTTGTCTTGTGAGACTTTTGAAATGATAATTGAGTTGTTTGGAAAAATATATTATCATTATCTCTTATGGATTATATTGAGAAAATAATGAGATATATCTCGTTATATTGTGAATGATTGGACATTATTTGGATTTTGAGTTGAGTCCTATTCTACCATGTGATAAGACCGTCATTGGTGCATATTGGTTGGCTTCCTTCATCCCCATAGTGAGGAATAAGCCTTTGTGGCTTTTTATTTGTCTCCCAGAGTGAGAGATAGGCCTATATGTTTGATTGATCTCCCATAGTGAAAGATAGACTTATGTGGCTTGTGTTTAGCTCCCAATATAAGGGTTTGGATGATTAAGATTATCTGAACATGCATGTTTTATATTTCTATTGATATATCTATATTTCTTAAGAACTAATAACTGTCCCACTTAATATCTTACGAGCACATGTTAGTATGTATGATAAGTTGAAAAGTTGGTTACTGAGACTTTTGTTTCATCTCATGGTTTCTACTATCTTCAGGTGATAGTTCAAGTGATTGGTCCATCAAGGAAGGCTTCGAAGGTTAATGTGCTGTTATAGTTTGTAGAGCCTCCCTTATTTTGTTTTATGTGCTGATTTATTATATATTGCTACATAGAGCTCATCTATTTTAGTGTTGTAAACTAATATTTTTAATTACTACTACCTAATATGGGGGCATTAGAAGGACAAATGCCTTTAAGTCTTTGCGTGTTGCGCTTTTTTAAAAGTGTTGACTTTTGACTAATGAACTTTATAACTTATTTTAAAATGATTTATCAATTCGTATGTTTGATAGTATAAGTTTTGTTTGAGCTAATGATTTAATGGTATTTTTTGGATTTTGGATGTCCAAGGTCCAAGTTAATGATTGATATTACTCGTAATACAAGTTTATTCCTTTTAACCATGATAGTGGTTTTATAATTTTAAGGTTTTTTCTTTTCTATTATGATTAATCTTTTAAATAAATTATTTGATTTAATCCAAATGAGTTTTTGGAAGAACGGTCGTCTCAGTATTTTTGCTCTGTTTTGAAAAGTTCATATGTATTTTTACACCCAACATTTTATTATGGTGCTTAGTGCTCTTTTTTAATATTACAATAAGTAAATTTGCCCCTTCATCCTTAAGTAAATTGAGAAAGCATGTTAAGTTAGTTATTTGTAATAAATAGGTACTATCTTTCTTAGAATACTGTCGCTAATTATGTATATTAGTTAAAATTATTACTTGATGGATCTTTAACTTTTGCAACTATTACAAAAATTATTTTAGAAAAAAATGAATAATAAAAGACGAAATGGATTTGAATATTATATTTAGGACTAAATTGAATGTCAAATTAGTTATTATATTAAGAACTAGAGGTAGTAGATTATAAGCTTAAAAGAGATTACACTAAGATCTTGTTTGGTATGAAGCATTGAAAATGAGGGATTGAGATTATGACTGCAATTGAGAAAAATTATTGAAATAATATTTAGCATGAGTAATTGCTTGTTACATGGAATTAAGCAAACCCATAGAGATGGGGTTGGAAAATATCACTTCCCCATGGTATTCCCCAATTTCACATATATAGGTTTAGCTAATCCCTTATAACAAGCAGCTTTTGATACTAAATACCTTTTTAATAGATTTTCTTAATCGCAATCCTTATTCTTTATTTTCAATACTTCCTACTAAATGAGACCTAATAGTTTTTGGACATATCCGGCGTCATTACTATGGTAAAAGCATGCTGAATTGTTAAGGCAAAACCCAAATCCGAACAATAACTGTATATTGCCATCAAACACATATATGATAAGTTCAAACTTTAAAAAGCTACAAGCTTTGGCCTAGCTTCTTTTTCAATTGCATTTTAGTTTCTATTACTTGTGCTCTCACCTAGCTAGATTGCTATGAGAACATCCATAAATAGTGGATGTTGTTTGGTTTGAGTTGGACATATGATCCACAAAAACAGTTATTCGGATACAGAGAAGGTTTTAGAGGCATTTCGAGACTTATAACATCATTTGCTTATAACATTTCTATCACTTTGTTCATTGAAGGACGATCAGTAGGTTTTAGTTGTATACACCAAAGTGCTACTAT